TGGACGTGTTGGAATATTGATGAAGTCAGTGCCAACATTTCAAAGGGGCGTAATTGCATTTGTAAACAATGGCTTTAGCCGTCGATTTCTCGCGAATAAAAGCTCACTCATGAAAAATAATGACACCAGCAGGTAGAGGAATGTTTCCTCTACCAGCTAGCATTGTTATTTTGATATCTTTTCATATGATATCTTTTCATTAGGCGCGCGCGTACGTTGGACGAGTAAAAGATTTGACGCGCGCACACACGGGACTTCTCAACTTTTAAGCGAAGCCTAACTGGACGAACCAGTAGGGTCGCAGAGAATACTAACTTCTTATTTGGTGAGCACTAAGTTGAGAGCACGCAATAAGCTAATATGCGCTAAGCAATAAGCTTGAAATGCGAACAAGAAGAAGAATGAATTATTTTAACGCCAAATTAAAGGTAAGAAAATTTTCTTTCGATCAACTGAACATCAATTGTTAGTGAGATTAGTGGTATTGTTGTTAATTAATAAATTTTTTTTTTTATATTTTGCATTTTTCTAAGAATTTAAGCAGTTTTTAACCCTCCGTTACTCGCGCCAACTTTTATAACACGAGTACTCGCGCGTTGTACTTTGTACAACAGTGTGAGTTTTCCATTGCCATTTTGCAACCGAGCTACCAATCGATATGAAACCAACGGGTATTCATTAAAAAACTTGTTTTTAACTAAACAAGCTAAAATTTTATCACAGTTAACCCACAAAAATGCGGATAATAGAAAAAATGTGAATGGAAACCGCGTAAACTTTGTCCGTACTACGTGGGATTTGACTTAATTGGTTACAACATGGAAAATCTCGAGATCCTGACCAGATAAAAAATTACTGTCTTCGGCAAAGTTGTTCTAGAGATCATAATCTTTTGGCTGGTGGAGAGTAGTTCAGAATTTTCTCACTACGTAACGCTAGAATTCATGTGAAATTATCGCATGTGATATATCTCGAGATCATGACCAGATAGAAAATTACTGTCGTCGACAAAGTTGTTCAGAAGGTCAAGGCCTTTTCGTTGGTGGACAGTAGTTCAGTGTTTTCTCACTTCGCGGCACTAGTATACATGTAAAATTCTCGCATATATAAAATATTTCTAGATCCTTACCATATAAAAAGTTACTGTCTTCGGCAAAGTTTTTCAGGAAGTCAAGATCTTTTCGTTGGTGGACAGTTGTTCAGAATTTTCTCCCTACTCGGTGCTAGTATACACATGCAATTCTCGCATATACAATAGCTCGAGATCCTGAGCAGATAGAAAGTTACTGTTTTTGGCAAGTTTGCCAGTCTGCAAGTCTGAACAAGTTTGTTTAGAGGGTTTAGACTTTTTGGCTGGTGGACAGTAGCCTAGAAATTTTTCACCACATGGCGCTAGTAAACGTGTACAATTCTCGCGTATGCAAGGTTCGAGATTCTGAACAGGTAGAAAATTACTGTCTTCGAAAAAGTTGTTCATGAGGTCAATGCCTATTGCTTGGTGCACAATAGTTCAGAACTTTCACACTACGTGGCGCTAGTATACACGCGAAATTCTCGCATGTAAAATATCTCGAGTTTCTGATCAGATAGATTTCTCTAGTGGACAGTAGTTCGAAATTTTCTCACTACGTAGCGCTAGAATACACGTGAAATTCTCGCATGTGGTTTGTTTCGAGATCCTGACCAGATAGAAAGTTACTGTCTTCGACAAAGTTGTTCAGGAGGTCAAAGCATTTTTGGCTGGTAAACAGTAGTTAAGAATTTTCTCACCACGTGGCATAGATGTACACTTCTCGCATATGCTATATCTTGAGATCCTAATCAGATAGAAAGTTACTGTCTACAACAAAGTTATTCAGGAGGTCACAGTCTTTTGGCTGGTAAACAAAAGTTTAGAATTGTCTCATAAACTCTAGGCTTTAAACTCCTGAACAACTTTGTTCAAGACAGTAACTTTCTATCTGGTCAAGAGCGTGAGATATTTTATATGCGAGAATTTCACATGTATACTAGCATCATGAAGTGAGAAAATTCTGAACTGCTATCCACCAGCCAAAAGACCTTGACCTCCTGAACAACTTTCTATCTGATCAGGATCTCGAGATATAGCATATGCGAGAAGTGTACATGTATACTAACGCTACGTGGTGAGAAAATAATTAACTACTGTTTACCAGCCAAAAAGTCTTGTCCCCTAAACAACTTTACCGAAGACAGCAACTATCTAGCTGATCAAGATCTCGAGCTATTGAATATGGGAGAAAGGCACGTATATACTAGCACCGCATAGTGAGAAAATTCTAAACTATTGTCACCCAACAAAAAGATCTTGACTTCCTGAAAAACTTTGCCGAATACATTTACTTTCTATCTGGTCACGATCTAGAGATATTTAATATGCAAGAGTTTCACATCTATAGTAGCGCCACCAAGTGAGAAAACTCTGAACTACTGTCCACCTGTGAAAAAGCCTTGACATCCTGAACAACTATGTCCAAGGCAGTACCTTTCTATCTGGTTGGGAACTCGAGATATTTTATATGAGAATTTCACGTGTATACTAGCGTCGCGTAGTGAGCAAATTCTGAACTATTGAGCACCAAGCAATAGGCTTTGATCTCCTTAAAAACTTTGTGAAAGACAGTAACTTTTTATCTGGTCAGGATCTCAAGATATATCACATGCGAGAATTTCACATGTATACTAGCGCTACGTAGTGAGAAAATTCTGAACTACTGTCCGCCAGCGACAAGGCTATAATCACAGACAAACAGACATAACACTCGCAAGTTTTTCATCGAACAAGCATTTAACGGTCAATTTAAAAGTATCGTAGTTGGTAGTACCGCCACCTGTAGCGCGCATAGTCAATTCCCTTGCGTTTGACGTTTACACACCTACCGCCATCTGTTCAGCGTACTACCCACCACAGTGTACTCAACAGATGGCGGTAATGTTTTAGCGACGATGTTTTACAGTGAGAAATATTCAATGTGTTATGTCTGTTTGTCTGTGCTATAATCTTGTGAACAACTTTGTCAGAGACAGTAATGCCTTGTTCAGACTGGAGAGTTATAACATGTTATAACGGTTGTCAAATAATTGCAACACAGAAACCACCAGCAAGATAGCGCTATAACATGTTATAACTCTGTAGTCTGAACGTACTATAACTTTCTATCTTGTCAGAATCTTGATATATTCCATGTTGTAATCAATTAAGTCAAATCCCACGTAGTATGATCACAGTTTTCGCGGTTTCCATTTACATCTATTATCCGCATTTTTTAGGTGTTTACTGTAATCAAAGTTTAGCTTGTTTAGATCAAAACAAGTTTTTTGAGGAATACTTGTTGGTTTCAGATGGATTGGTAACTCAGCAACAAAATGGCAATGGAAAACTCATGTGTGGTGTACAAAGTACAACAGCGCGAGTAACGGAGAGTTAAGCAGTGTAAAGTTTTTAAGCAGTGTAAATAAAAATGTTTGTAGTGGTTGTACCATTAATCTCACTCAAAATGGGTTTACAACGATCGAAAGCTAATTTTATCACCTTTAATTTGTCGTTAAAATAAATAATATAGCTTCATTACAGTCGGATATATTTATACTTTAGTAAAAACCTACATTTTTTTAAAGTTATTTTTCGAAAACCATCCAACTGAGATTTTTTTTGAACTACATTTTTGGATTTAGCGCACGATTTTACATGGGAAATGATCATCAGCGTACAAAGTTCAAATAATAGTGTAATAGGTAAATGCAGGCTTGCAATTGCTCATTACAGCTAAAATGCTATTTCCAGAGCCACATGTGAAAAGGGCATACAAGCTTTTTGTAAACAAACCTTTGTAGGCACTTTTCTCGCCAACCGAGGGTCCCCCACCAAAACTAATAACATCATCGGAAAGGGGATTATTGGGGCATCCATCACTCGAAGCAATCCTCGTCGTTATAGGTAAAACGAAAAATATTCAGGCAGCATATTCCTGTCAATTTAATAGTAATGGATTACTATACACCTGAGGAAACATCGCCACCATCAATGTCTTGTCGAACCATCAATGCCTTTCATGCAGTTAAAGAACGCGATAGAACGCATTTGAGGATGATCAACTTTAGCATATTCCCCAATCAGATAAAAAGTTTTTATAACAGTTGTAGAGAACGGCGCCGGTGGTGTAGTGGTAAGCGGGATTACCTCTCACTCCAGCAGGCCTGGGTTAATTCCCAGTCGGCGCCGCCGGGATGTTCTGAGGCATAACATCTCTGATCACGCCTTCCTTCGGATGGGAAGTAAAGCCGTTGGTCCCCGGTTCATGAGTTTGATGGGTCGATAGGTAGGGTCCAGGTGTGGGAGCTGCCTTCCTGGCACGTCGGTAGCATTGGTGCTCAGCACGGAAAACAAGATCGACGGAAAAAAAACAAACCAAAGGAAAAAAAAAAACAGTTGTAGACGTAAACACACCCTCTCAATCGGTCATCTTGGTAGAGCTTCTGAAAACTTTATGTTTATGCTTAGGAAACCTCGATTGAAAGTTCTGTGAGCTGAGTTTTGATCCGGATGTCTTGGATCGCCATACGTCCATAAAGATCAATTGCCATTGCACCCTTGCTTCGATTTATTTCCGCTTACATAGTTCATAGTTGATGGAAGCAGGAGCAGCCTATCCCCCTTATTTTGCGAGTCACGTGACTCTCTCTCACCGGTGAGGTGACAATTGTCACCTCACCGGTGACAGAGAGTCACGTGACTCGCAGAATAAGGGGGTATGTTTCGTTCACCTTCATGGACTGCAATTCGTCGCATGGAATCCCAAGCCATCGCGTTTGATCGGTCAGCTTGACCATTTATATCGTTGTCCAGCTTTCCACGCTCGGTAATGGCGGCCTGCACGAATTTTGAAATGCCACGTTGACTGTAGTTGTTGACATCAATAATTCATACCATTTTAATGGCTTGATTCGCTGTGATAATTTCATAAAATACGCCGGACAAGTTTCATACAAAGCTTATGTACTTACGAATATTTATTCATTTAATTACAGGCTAGCACTTTTGCTCGTACATGTGAGTTGGTGCGTGTATGAGAGGAAAGGAAGGGGGAGAATCGTAATATCCTAACTTTACGCAAATTCTAGAACGCAATGGCTTTAAAACTGCTCAAAGACGCTGAAGGAGCTTTTAACATTTTTACACTGTTGAATCTTGATCTAGCTACGACACTAACATTGTATAACACATTCGGAAACGAAAGTTAATTCTCGACATTGATAAAAAGTTAAACTTTGCCACGAGAAACAAAACAAAATCAATTAGCGAATTCAATATGTGCACATACAACAACTATATGTTAACACGATGGAGAACTGAGTAAGCTTTTAGTAGCGCGGCTCCTGGCATAGTTACAAGAATGCTTCCAGCTTTTACAGATGCCGCCGAATGGCGTGATATTATGGAATCCTAAAAGGCACCACCAGATTTTCGGTATGATTGACCTTGATCTCCTCGACGGCCACATTTGCCTGCTGGACCATGTCACGGATCTGTGTGTGTATGAAGGAGTTGATTATAAATTAGATTGTTTTATAGTTTAAAATGTAAAAAGGATAGCTTACCATGCTTAAATCTGCATGTACAATGGGTACGGAAGTTAGTACTGACTCTGGATTCGTCGCGATATCCTTGAGTAAACCTGAAAGAAAGAGAGCAGCGAGACAGGTATGAAGTACGTTTTCGACAGGGAGTAACAAACGATATTATCTGCCGAACGATCGTTCGTGGTAAATTCTGAGTGGCATACCGTGTGGATCCATAATTTCGTGCGGCGACTAACTCCATTCTGTTTGCCTATATTTTGAAGTGTATTGCGATGTGTTCCAAATTCATACTTTTCCCATACACTAGTCAATAATACCCATCTACATGCTTAGCTTTGTTTGAAATATCCACATTACTCATTATTTGGGGATTTCTCATAGTTGCGTGACCAGGGGATTTAGGAGCGTTAAATATAGATAGAGCTCCAGCGGCAACGTAACAGTTTTTGTAAACAATGACTTTGTGGAGATTGGCACACCTCTGGTTGCCACTGACATTCAGAGAGAGAGAGAGACGACTTCCGGAGGGAAAGGTAGAAATAGTGAATCGCGAACGTGTCACGACGCGAAGAATTGAAGCGGAAATAAATACAAGCTAAATCGTTGACTTTGCGTTCGTTTATTCGGTCTTCCATATCCGTCCGTGTCTGTACACCACAACTTCTTTCGATGATTTCTAGAAATTCAAGGCTCGCTCACGCAAAACAACATCCTCATCGGGTAGGCGAAGACTTCCCTTAACCGATGGGTATGTCGGTTTGCGTGGGCGTGCCTTGAGTTCCTAGAAATCATCGATAGAACTCATTGTTTACAAAAGCTGTTGCGCCCTAATTCCAGCTCCACCTAGAAACTATGTTATTAAGGTGAAGAAGTCATTCACCGCTCATGCAATCTTCACCGTTCACTGCATAATCATTATCATTATTTCTGAACATTATTACCTATTATTACCACAAAAACCAGTTGCTAAAATTTGCAAGTTATTAGAAAAATAATCATAATAAGTATATAGGGGAATTTACGTATTCTCGTCAATCTAAGCAGCGTCCTAACTTCTATTAGCGATTTCTCAGCGTCACACACATACATGACACGTTTGTTTGTTGACATTTATCTGCTGCTTGCTGTTCTACCAATTCCAATCGACAGAATTGATCAAAACGTTTTGAACATGTTTTTACAACGCCCCAAACTTTTCATGTGAGTGTGACTATTGTCAGCAGTCTCTTTTTCTTCGGCACCCTTTCCATTTGAACTGCGTGTTAACCAGTTGTTCTATTATCGGCAACTCGAAATCAGCCGTATTTTGTAGTGTGTATATTTCCTTTAAAGAAAAATATGGCATAACAGGATTGCACAGTCGTAAAAATGTAATCAGGTTGAAGCTGAAAAGGTAAGGAATCGGCTTTATACATTCAGCGAAGAGTTTTGATGGGAAAATACAGTGAAATTAACGTTTCAATTTCGGTTGCCGAAAACAGTAAATGGGTGCCGAAGCCATAATTTACCCTATAGTGAGGTGACCTTACATTTTTTTTTAAACTTTATTAGAGAGATTTTTAGCCGTTGGCTAGTTCATCTCTAAAACTCATTACATTAACTCCACGGTATATAACAAACCATTGGCACAAAATTCTAACCGTTTTGCAGTCTTCGACAAAGTAGTTTTGCACAGTTTGCTTAATTTAAGACTCAGGCATGCATACATAATGCATAAGGGCCTAACTGAAATGATCAATTCTCTTTATCGATTTTCTCTTTAAATTGCTACATCTCAGGGAAGCAATTTTTTGAAATTTGTCCAATACAGTGATGAAAGAGGTTGTATTGGCTATCAAAACCAACAACAAACGCAAGAGACAATCGACGAAGAGAATCGATCATCGCGGTTACGCCCGACATTTAATGTCATGATTCATGATTACCTGGGATATGTGCTATGATGCTATATTAAGAATGGACTAGGTATATTAAGAAATGAGGGATTTTTTTAAATTTTGTACTGTCGGTTTCTTTGGAAACAAAACGGTGATACGATCCAGTGTCCACAAATCATAGGCAATTGAACTGCCTTTTGGAGTTTTCTAGGAAGTTAATCTCGAACACTATTGCGATTTCAGGCATTAAATTTGCAAAACCATATTTGCTGCATCACAGCAAACATTTTTTTTTATATCTTTATTAAGGAGACTTTCGGCCCTGGGCTGGTTCGTCTCCGGTTCGGCAAACATGAGAAAGCAGTTTTGTTATTGTATGTCTTCCGGTAGCAGATATGTCGCCTGGAAAATGCGAAGTGGCATCAGAACCTGGGCTTCTGGATCGTATCACCGAAAATCTATATCATAACTAAACTTATACAAATTTGGCACAGTGTGAGACCTGAATACAAATCGAAGAAGGTTATAATCCGGCCTACAAGCTTTACCCAGACTATTGTATAAACGATATAAAGACGATCTACCTTAAGTATAAAACTAAAACTGCTAGACTCAGCGCGGCTTCTAGATTAGAGTTGTGCTACCTACTGAGAGCACGTAGTGGTGGAGGCTTAAAGATGCGACTATACTATAGCAGGTCCTTAAACTCTTTCACAGTTGTTAATAATCTAGCGGTAAGGAAGGAAGAAAGAATAATCTAGCGTCGCATGACTTGGCTAAAAATCTATTTCATAAATAATAATAAAAAAAACTATGTTATTGCGAGGCAGTCACAACAAACCAATCCCACCAAGGTGGTCATACTCTAACAGGCCTGATAGGACAAGGAACAGTTATAATAATTAAAATTTCAAAATAATTAAATTTGAAAAGACGCATCTGTGTCACTTGAAAATTCATACATGTAAACCAAACAAATACAAGAAATATAGATCATTTCTATCCTATCCGAGGCAGTCACGACCAGATCCAACATAAAAAAGCCGAGGAAATGATCGATCCTCGATCGAATCGTGAACATCTCTCTCGCATCGAGATGTATTGATTAAAGATTTTAGCTGCCAGAAATATGACAGCTCTAGAACCAGTAGTTATTACTCACCAACGTGGTGAACATGATTCGGATGCTGCACCGTGTTCCATTGCTGTTCCAGTCTTTGCGAGTAGATCTTCACCCGGTCGTTATACTCGTGAGGTTCAATGTTGTGGATGTCCATGGCAGCGACATCAATTACATTCCTAAAGGGAAGAAATCCAAATCAATAAACAAACACCGAAAGCCAAACATCCTCTAATCAGCATAGAGCGGACGACGACACTGAAATCAAAATACAAACTTACGCTGCAGTGTCTTGTATGATTTTGTTTAGCGCCGAAACATCATCCTTCTTCGGTACCGAGTTGGGGTATTCCTGCGTAAGGTCCTCACTGTCCGACCTCCGGACGGCGGGACTATTGCTGACCGGATTGTCAAGCAGATGTGTTCGTTCATTCGGTTCATTGCCCTGGCGTGAACAAGAACAATCAGAATTTCGGAATTATCAAAACCACAACTGCTGCATCTCATTCCTTACCTGAGCGGTGGAGTCTTCATGGCATCTGAAGCACCTGGTAGCGTAATCTACCACTGCACGGAAACAATCGTTCATGGCTATCGGGAAGTTTTTTGTTCTTCTCTTAACGTTGATAGTAGTTAATCGTTTCCCACTGTGCCACTATCAGTGGGAGGCTTTTGATATTTTCGCACCGTGGTTTAATCAGGCGGCCGAGAACGTCGAAATTCTTTCGCTTGTCCGTTTAAATGGAACAAAAATAAAAATAATGATTAGCGATAACAGTACGGCAAGACAGCCACCAGAAACTCGCTACTCGACTCGCACTTCGCACAAAAGAATAATTTTCTGACGTTTTGCTTTGACTTTACTCTCCGTTTCATTGTTTTGTTTCGGGAGAAGAGGGAGAAGATGATCGGGCGAAAAGAAGGTATGTGCCGATGACATACACGGAAAACGAAAACTTATCATTTATATGATTCATATCAAATTTTAATAATATCCCGGCAAGATAACCGAATAATTTTACTGAACTCTTTTGACAAATACACCGAATTGAATTTCCATATACCTTTTATGTGTGAAACAACATAGTTTTTTGCAATTAGACTTCACAAATAAAAAATATGTTTAAAGAACATAAAAATTATTTGGTTTCCCACCAATAAATTCAATGGCATATAAGAAATGAATTTAATTTGCATTGGTAAATAGAATTTATGTGTGAGGTTAATAACATTTCTTTCTCGGTAGAACATAAAGATTATGTGTCTAATTCAAATGAAAGTCATGGTACAAATAATAACGTTTACATGTCAATTTCATATATTTTATGTACTAAAAATATAAATAAAATAATAACAATACAGACTCTGATAAATTATTTATTTTCCTGAAGATTTTACACCGTCACTGACGTCAGTGGATTGTATATTCCCGCGTGAAGGTGTTTTTGGTTTGAGTCCTCAGATGTCTGTCGAAGGCGAGGTCGAAGCCTCGGAGGGTCTAGCGCTCGGTCTAGCGTATACATCGCCGCCTTTAGTCTCTACATCCTCTTCCTGCGCGTCCTCCTCCTGCACGTCATCCTCCTGCAAGTCTTCCTCCTACACGTCCTCCTCCTGCACGTCCAGCAGGAACTGTGTAGAATTCACAAAAAAAAAATTAATTTCAAACAAATAATATTTATTGTACTTACTCACGTTTGCCTTACGCCATTTAGTTATCCGACGGAAGATCACGGTTTCCTCTGATTTCAAAGCTTCTCCGAGCTCATCACGGCTGTTGGCTAATGTTTCTGTGAATGTTTTTTCGCTGAAAACAATCGAAAATAATAGTTTTATGGTAAATAGTTAAAGATAAATGAGATAAATAATTATTTACCTTTGAGAATGCTCAAGTTTTGTTGGAAGATGGAGACGATTTAGCACAATTTGTGCAAACTTATTGTCTGACGCCATATTAATAGTGTGCACTGAATTGAACCACTTAAACATTATGTGTGAAAACACATAACCTTCATCTATAAGATTCGAACCATAATTTTTATGGCAGCATACATATAAATAAAATTTGTCACGCATATACGTGTTATGGGGTAGCCTATAGTAGGTAAGGGATTTATTATGAAAATTATGTTTACACGTATAAAAATAATGTTTTGAATATCTTATAAAAATTATGTGCACAGACAAAATAAACATTAAGTTTAGAATTTTATTAGTGTAGTGTTAACGTCTGAAGTTAACGCATGTTTGGATAATGATGCTGATGAATGTTTCATGCGGGATCAAGAGTGGCCTCATTCACGTAATTTCCAATGATGTAAAACGGAGATACGAACACACTTAAATTTTTTTCGCCGAGATTCCAACAGCACGCAGAAAAAACGCTCTGTAATGGGCTGTTCATTACAGAGCGTTTTTTCTGCGTGCAGTTGGCAGGCGTAGGCAACATGTTATACCGTAACAGCGGGCCCAAAACAGCGAAATAAACGATTTGAGCCCGGGACATGCTGCCTACTGTCAAACGCTGCTGATGGTATAGGCCTTGTCACTGGCCTGGTAATGAATCAACAAACTATTTTGTTGATTTTTAATACAATGCTTTGGTTTGTTTCTGTTCATAAATAAAATTAAATTAAAAGAGCGCTCCATTCACTTTAAATATATTAATTTGATTGAATTGCATCATTAATGCGATTGATTTAAATAAACGATATTTGGTTTGTAACAATTATATATTTTTTCAATCGAAATGGTTACTTTGATTGTTTTAACTGAATATTTTTTTAAGTGCACGCTTCAAACTGTCAGTCTGTATTGGCATCGTTTGGCAAACGAAAAGAAGTTCCTCCTGCCTTTGCCTCCATTATTATTGCTCTTAAAATGTAAGCCATAATTTTATTTAATTGTGTAAATTCTTTCAAATTATTATCAAATTAATTCATGTAATTACAATTTCAGCGGTGACGTGAAAAAAAACGCAGTAAAAACGCAATACCATAAAATTGTTACAAATTTGGTTCGTTAACGTTTTCATATTTGAATGATATGATTGAATTTGATTTCGACTCGAAGAATGCTTCTTATGCGAGCAAGCGTATTGTTCGCAATTTTCTAAAAACCTAAATTGTCATAGAATAAATAAGGGAAAAAAATATTTATTGATTTACATAAATTTGATTTTGATACAATAAAAAAATATGAATCGCTACAACTAAAATTATGCGTTGCTCTAAAAAATGCTGCAGGTTGATTCAAGTAAACATTTTTTTGAATCAATAAAAATCGATGTTTAATTCAATAAAGCTGGTGGCATTATTTCAAGTTAATATTTTTATTGGATTGCTCTATGGATTTTATTGATCTATATTCTATTCAAAATTTTGTTTGAAATGAATCATGCTTTATTTGAAGGTACTATGTTTTTTTTTCTGCGTGAGCCGAGTAGTTCTGCAATTTATTTTGCTGAGATTCAGTAAAGCATTTGCCGAGACTCAGCTAACAAATAACATTTTGCTGAAATATCAGCTAACAAGCATATCTTTTGCAGAGATATCAGCAAAAATAAATGCCGAGGTAATCGGCTGTTGGTGATTTTACCGAGCTAGATTAAGTGTGAAGAGAAAACAAGTGCAGCCAATTTGATGAATCCCTATTCCATTAAGACTAACGCGGAGGGCATGCCATTCCAGTTTGAGTCCGGGAAGAAGATGTGTGTTGCCATTCCCCCCGCCCCCTGGATGTGCTTGATGTTTTGCCCCCATGACCGATTATTAACGAGTGTTTCCATCGTCTGTTTTAATGAGATCGTTGAAAACTGATAGTGAGTATGGTAGAGTGCTTCGCGGTTGACCTTAACTGCGAGAAACTGCACGTCTTTCTTGATAATTTGGGTATATGCGGTGTATGCAGAAGGGATATGTTGGGAATAGAAAGAATAGATCGATGGATTGAAATTTTGTGCACGTTGAACATTTTATGAGAGATTTGAGTAATGAGATAATCCTGAATTGTTGTTCCCCTGGTGTGGGCCTTTTAATGAATACAAAATATCTCTGATCGGCCGTTTCGAAATTTGAGTTAATTTTAATGATTTTTATCGATTATGAGGAACTTTTCTACACGATTAGTAGCTATCAATCGGTTCTATAGAATGGTATCAAAACTCGATCGATTGGTTTAAGTTTTGGACAAATGCCCATTTCAAATGTTACTCTAGATATAGCTACGGTGCAACTCACGTGATTTTGGCATTTTTGAACAGCTTAATCTTTTACACTTGCATCGTAGCAGGGTTGCTTCCACTCACTTGCTATAAAAACATATTGTTTGGAATTATGCAATCATTAGATGATATAATGATATGCTGTACTTGTAAGTAACGAGAAGAGTGTTTAAAGTATGTGTTTGACTCATAAAACCTGCCAATTTTGCTTTCAGAGCGTCACAATAAGCGATCTTATGATTCGTGAGCGTTCACTCAGAGTGAGCACTCACGAGTCGTTAAATTGCTGATTGTGACGCACTGAAAGCAATATTGACAGATTTTATGTGTCAAACACATACTTCACGTCCTCATCTTGTAACTTACAAGTACTAGTTATCACTTTACCATGTCATGATTTCATAATTCTGAAAATCATTGTTCATGGGAAATATTTAGCTAAGCCATGCACCCGCATGCAAAAGTTATAAATTGGTTCGTGTCTGATCTATTCTGGAAAAAATATTTTTATCTAGATCAAAAAATCCTATGATTTTGACAGTTCGGATCACCTCGCGGATCACTGCACATTTAAATCGGCCGTTTACGATTTTCGGACATAGGGTATACGTCCCTAACCTCGGTCTAATATGCAGCCATCGATTACGTTTTTAATCATAACTCATCAATGAATTTACCTGCAAACGATATTCTACTGCTAAATGGTATGCTTAGATATGCTTATCATGTCGTTTGCTATCAGAAACCACGAAAAGTTGAAAAACTTACTTTTTTTAAGACAATAACTCACGAGGGAAATGTATGTAATATGGGTCTATTGTCCCCAAATTGGGTCTATTTATGGATGCAACTTCGTCCTATCTTGTTTGATCCTCAAAAAAACGCTCTTGGTAACGTTTTCTGATGTATTTTTTTTTATCACTATCACTGTTAACTTAATACTCTTCATTCCTCAAAACATTTCTTAGAGAAAATTTTACGAAAACTACATTAAATCACTCAATTTAAAAATTAAAAATTAAAAATTTCGCTTATCGTCTTTTGACCGCAGAATATCTAAATCAGAACATTGTGATGTTCATTATACAGGTTTGGCAGAAAAAATCTCCCTTCCTGTTCGTTCCTTATCATCCAAATGCAAAACAACATTGTTGACGTTACTCTTATTGCTATATGCTGTCAAATGAATTTCATGGGCCATAGTTAGGAACATAGAAAAGAAATGTGTCCCTAAAGTTGGGTCCATGTTTTACTTGTGAAAACGTTGTTAAACAATTAAAATAAACATAAAATATTCAAACAGCAACTGTAAGTTTTACGTCTAGTGTGTATTATCAGGTAATTCCAATCAATAAATGCCATAATCAGGCCATTTGATGATCGTCAGTCAACCTTCCCATCTTAACCTTATAAGTCATGGCGGCTAAAAACTCCGAACATTGTGATATTCTCAACCAGTTTTATTACTTACGAGAGCTGAAAATGTATTGAAATGTTGTGATATAAATTGATTTGTGTGTGGTACACATTTATCAACCATCAGTGATCAATATTTTCCTTATTTTTTGTGTAATATTCCTTAATTAATTATTTATTTGCGTGATAGGCCGAATGAAAGGACTAGACCCACATTACATACCGTAACCCTAAGTCAGAATTAAATGTCATGTCGGTTTGTCGGTGGTACAACCAGTCTATCCGGAACAGTCACGAATGGTAAATGATGGTGGCTACAGGGAATAATTCTTTTTAATGATTATGATACATATAAACAACTTATTTACATTTAAATGACAGTGTGTCCATCCTAGAACCTGGTGATGTTGGCCTGTTCTTGGCGACTTGGAGGTTCGTACTCCAGTGCAGGTGATTTAACCGCTCCACGATCACCGACCAGAATCTCCACCACTTGTTCCTGCGCAATCTGGGTTTGAAGATTCAAAACTGTTTGTTCACCGATTCTAAAAAAAAAAAAAACAATCAGAAATAGCAAATAATAAAGATACCTTCGGTTCTTTCTTTCGAACATGAAAACTTTTAAATTGATATCCAATAGAATACAACGAGGGGCTGTCAACTTGTGTATTTTATATTCATCTACCCGAGTTGAAAATGTGTATTTTGTATTTTTTTTTTCTTATTTATCTGAGTACTGCGAACTCAACCGATTTCATTTTTCAAGTGAGCTAGAAAACATTTTGAAAATTGTCCGAAGTTTTGCTTTTGTTTTGCTGAAACAGCTCACAAAATTGTATATACATGCTGTCAAATGAACTCTTGGCTCCTCCTCCTCTGCTCCAGAAATAACGTACACATGGTGATGGGAGTGCACCTGCCCACAAAGCTCACATGACTCGTATAAAGTTCGATTACATTCTTGTTTCAGCAACCAAGTTTTGGCATTATTAATATCAAATAAAAACACTTTTTCGAGCATCACGCTCGATGATTTACATTATCCGCCTACTAAGGTTGATGTTTCGACAGTTTCATAATTATAATTCTTAATTTGTTTTCAGTAGGTGGCAACACCTTTACTTGTGGTTCAAACAGTAACTACCTACACACAAAAAACAAAAATTGTTCCAGTAAAAATATTGACCTTTCAATTTAAAAGTATCAATAAATTCGTTACCCTAACTACGAAGATATTTAATTTAAAAATGTAATTTTCAATTCAAAAACGAATGTTTTGATTTTAGCTTGTAGTTTTAAAAGCTCAAATTTTCAAATCGAAAATGGTTTTACTGTCAAAATTACTTCTTCATGGGTAGATTTCTACCTTTTTATGGGTTATTCTACGGTAGCGTGAGTATATAAAAACAAAACGCGCCAAAAAATAGGTGGAACATTTAACCAGCTACCAGCCTGTGCATCGACCCATGCAACAGTTCAGTATTGAAATTATTCCCTGTCTCGATCCCGAATAAAATATTGAATCTTTCAGTAGAATCCGGTCGTCCATTAGAACGTGAAAACCTACCTGGAACTACCTGAAGGACGTCTATACGGCTCTAGAAACGAGCAGCTCGCCAATGCCGGTATAGTGGAATGGAACACGAGCACAAGAAACTCTCGAACAGACGCAAACCTCGCAAATGTCCGACAAGGATTCAAGTAAGTGACCTTAAATTTCCCCCTGCTTGGACAAGATTATTTCAGATTACCTCTCACTTTTACACTCTCATTAATTTCTATATACCATTCTAGATTAGATCCACGACGCTTCGCTGGCTGCTTCCCACATAGAACATATCCTCAGCGAAGCCACCAGTTCACTGAGTTTTGTTGCTCCGTCCTGGACCACAACAGACATGGATGATGCAGTTCAAAATCTGACTGCTGCTTAACGACGTTTATCTAACCATACAAAAATCTAATAATTAGCATGTAAACTGTAAAAACATTCAATATAAAAACACAAATTTATTTTTGGAACTTGAAATTTAAGCACAAAAATAGGAATTTTATAATCAATAGATTTTTAAATGAAAAATTTGATGCTGAAAATGCTGGTATTCATATTGAAAATATTGATTTTTTAAATCAAAATGGTACATATTATTGTAACAGTAAGGAACTTTCATGTTAATAGCTTGTTTTGGATCAAAAATAATTCACTTTTAATTTCAACACTGTGATGCGTTTGATTTGACAGTAGTACAATTCATTTTGAAAGTTTAAACTTTTAAAAGTAGTGAGTGGACTACTTTTGATTTGACAGTTGGCTAACTTTTATTTTGAAAGCTAACCGCTTTCTACCAAAAAGAACCAACGCAAACTTTTAATTCTACCAACGATTTTTTTTAATTTCAACAACGATAATTTTTTGTGTGTACGTAACTTCTGAGCTCTTTTGAATGTTTGGCTCCCGTTTGACAGTTTGACTCGGCTCCCAGATGACAAGCATTTTGAGTCAGAACTCAGGTATTTATGTATTGTTAAGTTTTGTGTATTTTTGCATTAAGGTGTATTAAATTCATGATGGAATGTATTTTTCGGGTACAAAGTATTTTCGATGTATTTTTGAGTATTTTTATCGGGGTATTTTAGTTTCAGCGTGTACGCATTTACGTATTTTTTGTGTATTTTCCGAAGTCTGTTTTTACAATACAGCTGATTTATAAAGTTGATCGCCCCTCGGAATATAAAATGGAAAATTTTATATATAAATTGAAAATATTGTCTTCAAACCTACACAGCAAAAAAAAAATGTAATAGCGATCAATGTAATTCAAGCTGATGTATGAAATAATGATGTAATAGTAAAAAGCAGATACAATATTACATCAATGGATGTAATTTTGTTCGCAAAATCGATGTACATCGTACAATGTGATATTACACAACCGATGGATTGACCTGGTTGCAGCAGTTTCGATGTAATATTCAACAACTTTTTTTGCTGTGTAATGGCACATGTTATTTCTATTAAAACAGTCTTTAACCTCAATTTTTATTTGAAGCAAAGTTATTCGCTTTTAATTTTAATACTTTCATATATTTCATTTGACCGTAGTAAGCTTTATTTTGAAACTTTGAACTTTTAGAGGTAATGATCGCAAATCTTTCTTATCGTGCAACTCTTCTCGAAAAGAAGGTATTCTTTGTATGTCACATGCCACTTTTCGTTTCGAGCACACGGTTTGCAGCTTTGCTAAACTCGAGCGATTTTCGTTCGCTTTTGTTTTGCTTTTGACTTTCGCGTTCCACGTCAAAACGGAACATCTGTCAAGAACGATCACGGCATTATCCTTCGTACGTAAACAACAATCAGTTTTTCTGTCTTCTATTTGGGTGGGTGGCTGCCTGTTTGGTATTTCGTGTGCGGCTCTTTCTTCCATCGTGAAAGAAGAACTTCCTACCTACCGGAAAAATCAATAATTACGTGAATGTGGCGTTTCAGTTTGGCTGAAAATTAAAGTTGCCGGTCGAGGAATAATTGCAGAATGTTTTGCTTGTGCAGTTTGTAAGTAGCGATTTTCTTCTAAATATGGACTGTTACCGATGGATGCCATTGATGATTTCAGAATCTACGTGGCGCTGTTCATAGGCTCGTTTACTCTGATCGGGCTGCTGACGGTGTTCCTGTTGCTTCGGCAGTTGATCCGGAGTCAGAAGAATAAGCGCAGGAATAACAATGATAACGACAAGTACGTGGCTCTGTTCCATCCGTACTGTAATGCCGGTGGCGGAGGAGAACGGGTGCTCTGGTGCGCAGTGAGGGCGTTGCAGAACAAGTACGATGGGATTAAGTTGTTCATTTATACGGGAGATCTGGAGGCAACGCCAAAGGAGATTCTGAATAAGGCGGAGAGGACGTTCAATGTGAGCCTGGATAGCAAGAGAATTCAGTTTGTGTACTTGAAGAGGCGGAAGTGGATCGAAGCGAAGCGATATCCGTACTTTACTTTGCTGGGTCAGAGTCTGGGATCGATGATGGTGGGCATGGAAGCGTTGCTGACCTTACAACCGGATGTCTACATCGATACGATGGGGTATGCTTTTACATATCCGATCTTCTCTTACATCGGTGGATGCAAGATTGGCTGCTACACACATTATCCGACGATCAGTACGGATATGCTGAGACGGGTTCAGAGCCACGTGAATTCGTACAACAATCGGGGCTACGTGGCGAAGAATCCTTTTGCAACGTGGATCAAAATCGTCTACTACAGAATATTCTCCAAGATCTACGGAATGGTTGGACGATGTGCCGATACGGTTATGGTGAACTCCACCTGGACCGAGAATCACATCATTTCTCTTTGGGATGTTCCGTACAAGACGCATAGGGTGTATCCTCCGTGTGAGGTATCGCACTTGAAGAAGCTCGAGTCGTTGGCAAGTGTTCATGATAAGATTGTAATTCTGTCAGTGGGACAGTTCCGACCGGAGAAGGACCACCCCCTGCAGTTGCAAGCGATGTATGAGTTGAGGACTTTGCTGAGTAAGGATGAAGCACTATGGAATCGTCTTCGGTTGTTGATCGTTGGGTCCTGTCGGGATGAAGAGGACCGTGAGCGGGTGAAAAACATGCAGGACTTTGCCAAGCACCTTTCGCTGGAGAATTCGGTTGAATTTAGAGTGAACGTGTCCTACCAGGAGTTGATTCAATGCTATCAGGTCGCCAGCATTGGATTGCACGCAATGTGGAACGAGCACTTTGGAATCAGCGTGGTCGAGTGTATGGCTGCTGGATTGATCATGGTCGCTAATAGGTACCTTAGTCTTTTGAAATAATGTGAATTGTACTATGATTTCTCGCATCTTCTAGATCTGGTGGCCCGTTGATGGACATAGTGGAAACTTCGGAGGGAAGCCAAAACGGTTACTTGGCAATCGATGCCTACGACTACGCACGATGCATTGCCACGACTCTGTACAATGGCCGAGAGTATAACAACAAGATTCGCGAAGCAGCTCGTGCTTCGGTGGATCGTTTCTCGGAGAAGGAATTCGAAAATGGATTCCTCCGCGCAATTTCTCCCATTCTGGATGACAAGGAGTTCCGTTAGAGCCCAGTTATGGATAGGCAGATTTTTTGTAAATAACTTTAGTTTGAACTCTTCCTAAAATTGCTTGCCTACGTGGATTTTAGCTAAAAGAAAGTCGCATTTCTCGGGATTTTCAATGTTTCTCAAAATGTAATCAGTAGATATTTTTAGGGCACGCTATGACCGATCCTGTTACATTTAATTATAAGTTCTACGTTACCTATGGTAGAGAGTCAGATTTAGGAACAAAGAAAAGTCGAATAAACTTTCCCGAAACAGTTTAAATCATTTACTGCTCTACAATTAGTGAAAACGGAAGTTCCAGTACCTCTCCTCCCGTACTGCAGTGCCAACGAACAGTTTCCAATCAGCGGAACAAGTAGTAACTGTCAATCGAAGTCACGGGGAGGAGCGGATCGAAAGGGACTTAAAACTTTTCGCCACAGCCAGCCAGTGGAAATGCAATTAAAACGAATCCGCAGTGAAAGGAAGAGGTTATCGATAGTTGTTCGGTTCGCGTAAGTTCACTATTGTAGCGCATGCAGACAGACAGGTAGGTATGTAAGGAACGAGCTGCTGGACTGGTTTGGAAAATGAATTCAATTTTCCCGGTCCAGATCGAATGGTCACCGAATGCCTTGTTGAATGGTGGAAATTTTGCGAAGGGTTGACTGAAAGTTTCGATCGAATTGATTGGACGGCCACGGTGAAAGGACAGGTGGTCGTTGGTGTTCGGATTGGAAATTGAATTTAATTAAGCAACTTATTGTTTGAGTTTGGCAGCAACTCGGGGAAAAGTTACTTTGTTATGGAGCGTTTTTGTGCGTTTCGAGCTGCTGTTTGCGCAAGTTTACTTATCAATAACTGATTAATTGAATGCAAACCGTTTCATTGCTTTTCATGGAGACGGATGAATGTTTTTGCGTTCAGTGAACGAACGGTATTCGGGCAGTATTAATCTCTGCAAGTTAACGCCTGAAAGTTATGCTCAAGTTGTGTGTTGTAGAGAATCCTATGATGAAGAGGAGACAATAGGGGGACCTTTATGAACCAATTTTCTGTTAAACGCGAACCAGCGCCTGGTGGGTCGGGCGAACGTATAGAAACGCGAGAATTTTTGCAAACAGTGAATCTATTTTCTTGCAGGCTTCCAGTGCGCACGCTACTGTATGCGAGACGCAATACGAATAGTCTCATAATCATAGCAGTCTCATGCGCAAGAGATTTGTAGCACTCTGTTTCTCTCTCTTCAGTTTTGTCGCATCTCACATTCTCATAATGTCTGTGTGTCGCACTGTTTTGTAAGCACAGCACATTTCCGGATGTATGCGTTTCATGAGAACGAGTATCATGCGACGTCGCGTGAGACGAAGCTCATGCGCTTTTCGCAATGAGACGTCGCTAAGCGACGTTTCAATGCGGCATCGAAATAACAAACTCAACTAGAAGACCAACTCGTGGGGAAAGTGTTGTTTTGTTTAGAAAACGATGGAAAGCGACCTAGCTACTACACTCTTATCGAACATGGAGAAGAGGTGTCGGATGGTTATGACCAACAAAGTTTTCCTAGCGGCAATTTTCGTTGATTAAAGATTAACTTGAAAAATAGCCCATTCATAACGAACGAAGTAAGAGATGTGGCTTTGGTAAGCGAAATGTACAATCAAGTTGTGGTTTATTTGCTCGTTAATATGCTTTTTTCAATTTCACCGAGGATCCACGGTACCAACACTAGGACTATTTGGAAATCTGAGAGGAAGAGGAGACAACTGGCTTCTTTTTGTCTGTGGCGTGTTCTTCTTCTCTCGCGGAAACGACAGTGCAAAAACTATTTCATTATGAGCGACGCAGTCGACTGCCAAAATACAAGAAAACAGGCTTCCGGAAATCTCACGCGTACACAAATGCGACAGCGAGCTGTGAGACGGAGCGTCGCATGACTCTCAAATCCATGGTGTGCTACATTATTGTACAAAAGAGAGACCAGAACGATGCGCGCGACAAGCTACACGCTCTCAAAAAATTCAAGCGTTTCAATTTTTGTTTGTCTCATCGCATTGCTCTCTCAATGCGACGCATGTATTCAATCACATGCGACTGTTTCATTGAAACATCTCAATGCGCTCTCTCAGGGCGCCATCGCCGTGCGCTGATTCGCATGCTTTGACTCTCGCGGTCCCATCATAAGTGATGTTGTCGGGTGACGAGATAAGGGACTGCAAGGGTTTGTTCACAGAAGACTTGTGGCCTTTGCACATGTGGATTTTGAAATGGGGTAAAGTTTTTAGATGGTTCCAGAAATATCTTCTTGTATAGATTCAAGCAGACTCAACTCATGGTTCCAGAGATATACTGGAATCACCGTAAGATCACCACTAATGATCCTAGGAAGACGCAATTGCTTGTTGAAAGGATGCTAAAGGAAGGTAAAGGAAGGCTACGTGAGCGGTGGATGGCAACCTTACGGTAGTTGGGGTACCGTTAGCATGTTAGCACCCAAATAATACCGGAATATCAGTGGAACTATGTGTCCTTCAACAAGTCCTTATGCGGAAATCTTCTAAAATACATTTTTTGGAAGCCTCTGAAGCTTTCAGCCCATTTGGTGGAAAAATAAACAAGTTATTGCGCATTTGCACCAAATTAAACTCAGAATCCCTCAGAATACTTTTACTCAGACCAGTAAAAATATAAATGGACGATTTTGAATGCAAAACAGCACTATACTATACAAGATCATATGGTCGGCCTTAAGTCAGAAGGGACTAAGTAGCAAAATAAAAACAAAAAATGAGTTAATGATATCATAAGATCAAGAATTCCCTCAGCTACATTTCAATTTTTCAGCCAGATTTGAAAAATTAGAGTAGCACGAGAAAACGGTCAAATGATTTTTCCCATTACATAAGACACAATATTAAACAGCCAACTTTAAATTCGTTTTTCTCAAAATCAAATAAAAAATTCACATTTCGGTCTGACTTGACCGATCATATCAACACGCTAGTAATCATAGAACTCTGAAGATTAATATTTTTATTTGTCTGGCTTGAGAGACACTATTTTAAGGGATTATTTTCAACGCAGAAGTGTACTTTGCTGCAAAAACGTTGGTGGTGACTTCTCATTGCATACACACAAGTACATACACTTACACATACACATACACATACACTTAAAAATTAACCAAGTTTAACATGTTGTAAATGTGTTCTGTCAGATCAATTGAGTTGAAATTTTTGACACAAAACTAAACAGCTATGCACAAATTTTATTTTTATTGTCACCTTCCAGCAGGTGCTTCAAAAAATTTGGTATTTCTTACACGTGAAATTCAACATATTTGTAGTTTTGCGTCAAAATTTCAGCCTAATTGATCATAACAGAACACATTTATAACATGTTAAACTTGGCTAGTTTGTATGAAAATGACCTTTGTCCGATCAACTTTACACCACAGTGTACGTAGGTACGAAATGCTGGATTAAGGTTAAAGTAATAAATTTAGGAACAATTTGTGTCATATCTGTATTACGGATTGTTGCTAAGCTTCTTGCTTCAGGAATTGTATTGAATACCTGTCAATCAACAAAACTTACTACGGCAGCAACTGAATTCTTCAGATGTGTTAGCGCTCACAGGATAGTTCATATCAGCCACCATGATGCTGAATTGAAACAATCAATTTGCGACAACAGATTTCCAAATAGTCCTAGTGTTGGTACCGTGGATCCTCGGTGAAATTGAAAAAAGCATATTAACGAGCAAATAAACCACAACTTGATTGTACATTTCGCTTACCAAAGCCACATCTCTTACTTCGTTCGTTATGAATGGGCTATTTTTCAAGTTAATCCTTTAATCAACGAAAATTGCCGCTAGGAAAACTTTGTTGGTCATAACCATCCGACACCTCTTCTCCATGTTCGATAAGAGTGTAGTAGCTAGGTCGCTTTCCATCGTTTCCAAAACAAAACAACACTTTCCCCACGAGTTGGTCTTCTAGTTGAGTTTGTTATTTCGATGCCGCATTGAAACGTCGCTTAGCGACGTCTCATTGCGAAAAGCGCATGAGCTTCGTCTCACGCGACGTCGCATGATACTCGTTCTCATGAAACGCATACATCCGGAAATGTGCTGTGCTTACAAAACAGTGCGACACACAGACATTATGAGAATGTGAGATGCGACAAAACTGAAGAGAGAGAAACAGAGTGCTACAAATCTCTTGCGCATGAGACTGCTATGATTATGAGACTATTCGTATTGCGTCTCGCATACAGTAGCGTGCGCACTGGAAGCCTGGTCCTATATTAAGTAAATGTTCTGATTTTCTGCACAGAGACTACTGAGGCAACTGGAAAGGTACTTATGGATGAAGAGCAAAAATTTGAGTACTTTTCTTAAAAATGGGACAGCCTCAAGACTTACATTGGAATTTGAGAATCTTTCTTCGAGGCGTAATGTTTTCTTATATATGGTCCGAGTATGGTCTTTATTAGAAATACTCGGAGAGATGGGCGAGCGAGAGAATGTTTTGAGCCAAATGAACTGTCTAAATCTGAGCCAATCGAACATTCCCATTCCCATTCCCATTCGAATTTTTCCGAAGATTTTTCATTTTTACTAGAATAAATTTGAGAGTATAGCAATCGAACAGAAATTCAATCACCTTTATGTTTTGTGTGCTTCTCAAATTCAACTAGTTTTTGGAATCAAAAACAATATTCTAACTCTCTTGATAAATTGATCTTCGTTGGTTAATTAATGGCACCAAGAAATGTGCAAAATATTGCGATGCAATCAATTATTATTTTGCAGTAAATCGAATTAAAAATAAAAGTCATGTGAAATGCAAGCTTCTAGCAAGGGTTGTAAGATAATTTAGGTACAAATCCCTGCTGCCGAATTGTATTTTGTTTTCTCAGCCTATCTCTCCCTCTGAGTATTTCTAGTCTTGATATTCTAGTTATGGTCTTAGACGAGTTTACAGATGCGAATTTGGAAACATTTTAGAGCTCAATTTCTAATTTTTTTTACATTGATGTATTACAAAAATGAGTGGATGTTCGATAAAATACAAATTAAAAATAATTGAATGCGAATTTTTAAAGAAAATACTGTTGTTCGAATCACTAAGTTTTGAAACGTGTTTCTGTGCTCAATTCTATATTCATCACTGCTCAGTAGTACCAACAATCGATACGAAACTAACGATTTTAAATTGGCTCACTACTTGACTAGCCTATTGGTCCCATGCAAACGATTAACGTACCCTATTCTAG